GTGGGGGGGGGGGGTGTCCTCAAAAAGTTCATGGAAAATGTGTGTACTAGGAAAAGCTGCATAGATTTCCTTTTTTTTGCTTGTTCATTAATTTTTGCTTGTTCATTTAACTTGTTCATTAATTCCAGTTTTGAAATTCCCTCATATATACCACTCGTTATTTTTTTTCCCATCAAGTTTGCCAGAGGGCGGGTTAGCCAGAGAGAGACAGAGAGCGCGGAGAGAGAGAAGCACCCTCCAGCGAGGTGTGGTTATACCACAGCGTCTTCTTCATTTTCCCACCTTGTCAGGGTTTTGGGTGCCCATGCACATAGGCATGGCATATATTTTTTTTAAAGAATTATTTATTTAGTTAATTTCATTTGTCATTATTTTTTTAATTTAACCAGAGAGAGACAGAGAAGAGGGAGAAAGAGAAGGAGAAAAAGCAAGCCGCCAGGTCTGGGACTGGAACCGCAGCCAGCCATGTGGGAATTCAGCACCCTTAACCACCATGCCACCTACAGGCCACGGCATGGCATATTTTTGAAGCCACTGGGTCTGGGAACTCAAACTGTGCTGTCAGCTATGCACGATATAGCTCCCTTAACCACTAGGCCACGGGGCCATCCATCCCACATTTTCTTCTATTTTTTAAAAAAGAAATTAATTTATTTAATTTTATTTGTTATTATTATTTATTTTTTAATTGGATGAGACCAAAAGAGAAAGGGAAAGTGAGAAAGGCAAGCCGCCAGGCCAGGCGGGATTCGAACCGCGGTCATCTCTGTGGGAGTCTAGCACCTTAGCCAGCACACCACCTGCCCCCCCCCCTTTTCTTTTCCCGCTCATCTTCTGATGGACATTTAGGTTGAAGCCACGTCTTGGCTGCTGCGATGAGGGCTGGAGTAAATGGGAGTGCAGGTCTGTCTTTGCACACGGATTCTCCCTCCTCGTGTGTCCCCAGGAGCGGGAGGGCTGGGTCCCGAGAGGAGTCTGCTTTGTGTTTTCTGGGAAACCCGCCGTCCGGCTTCCATAGTGGCCTTGCTGGCTTACTTTCCCACGGCCGCGTATGAGAGTTCCTTTTTCTCTGGCTTTTATTTGATTGCACCAACAATTATAATTGCAAGGAAGGGAGTCAGAGGGTGAGAGAGTCACTGCCCCGCTGCTCTGACTCATCAGGTGGCCTCCGCGCCTGGTTCCTTTTTTCAGCCCCAGCCTGTGCGAACCCTTAGCTCTGAGGTAGCAGTTACCTGGTCACCACTTCATATTCTGTTTTTCTTCCCTTCGTTTAAACGTAGTAAGCGTTTCTGCACGTTGCATATCAGCATGGTTGGTTTTGATTATTCATGATAGAATACCCATGCCTGAGAGAGGGAGGGAGGGAGAGAGACAGAGAGAGAGAAGAGCACTCCTCAACTCCGCAGGGTCCGGCCACACTGAGGTCGCCTCCCTCTAGCCCTCCAGCCGTCAGATAGCGGGCATTTGCACGTGTGCCTGGTATGTTGTGTAGGGATTTGAACCGTGGTTGCCATGTTGGATCTGGATTCTCTTGAGCATCAGGGTAGTGCTCATTATGTTGTTTTGTATTTATTTTCTGAGAGAGGTTTTTGCTATAGGCACGTGTGCTCGCCAGACAGACAGAGAGAGGGAGAGAAACAGAAAGTGAGAAACCTCCCCCCATGTGGGATGGCCACTCCGCAATCCCTTCTCCTCCATTCTCCTCTCAGGATCTTGGGCACGCATGCACACACGCCCAGTATGAGTTTAAGCCACCGGGTCTGGGACTCGAACCATGGTCGACTTCATGGGAATCCAGTGACATGGCCATTGCACTAACTGCTGATTCCTGTGCTTTTTTTTTTTTTTTTTCCATAGGGTGCATGTGCTTGCCTGAGAGAGACAGAGAGGGAAGATGACAAATCAACCCCCGGGGGGATGGCCACGCCAGTCCCCTGCCTTCCATTCCCCTGTTCGGGTATTGGGCACATGTGCCTTGCTTGCTTTTAGGTTTGAGAGTTAAACCAGGGAGTCAGTCATGTGGGACCCAGTGCCTTCACCACCTTCTGGCCCTCATCATGTGGTTACATTTTTGTATTTTCTTCCTTGTAACTTACCAAGGGGCATGTGCACTTGGCAGAGGGAGACAGAAAAAGAGAGAGCGCGCGAGCATCCTCCTGTGGGCAGTGATCATGCCACGGTCTTGTCTCCATTTCTTCATCCTGTCAGGATTTTGGGCACACACACGCAGGCATCCGCTGTTTCTCCAGCCCCCGAGTTTGGGACTAGAACCCTGGGGTCAGTCAGGTAGGATTTGTCTACCTTAACTGCCAGGCCACAGAGCTGTTTTCAGTGGCTTCTCAGTGGTCATCAAAGGGATTTGCTCATAATTGACTTTATCACTTCTCATAGTAGACATTTAAATTGGTGTCTACATTAAAAAGTATTTTCAAATGTATTCATTTTTAAAAATTCATTCATTTGTTTTTATTCATGATAGGTAGCATGAGTGCATGCGTGGGATGGGGGAGGAAGGAGAAGAGAAAGCGCCTGTAGGTCATCAACCCAGTCACGCCCATCAGGGTCCTGGGCACATGTGTGTGAACCCAGCGTACAGCCCTTGGGGCCGGATTCAAAACCCCACTGGCTCTGTGGGATCCCGCTTGCTCTGTACTGTGCTCCCTGTACCTCAGGGCCAGCCCTGGTGCCTGCTTTTTTTTTTTTTTTTTTTTTCCTTTTTTTAAAGAATTATTTTATTTAACCCCATTTGTTTATTTGACCAGAGAGCAACAGAGTGAGAGACCGCAAACGAGAAAGCGAGCCACCAGATCCGGGACTCGAAAACGCGGTCTGCTGTGTGGGAATCCAGTGCGCCCATCCACCATACCACCTGCCAGCCCCAACCTGATGTCTGCTTTGAAAATACTTTTGGGGGGGACCAGCAGTTGGCATAATGGCCATGTCGCTGGACTCTCATGTAATTGACTACTGTTCATGTCCCAGATCTGCTGGCTTAAGCTCACGCCAGGTGCATGTGCGTGCCTGCCCAAGATCCCGAGAGGAGAATGGAGGAGAAGGGATTGTGGCGTGACCACCCCCCCGGGGGGGTGATTTCTCGCTTTCTGTCTCTCTCTCTCTTTCTGGTGAGCGCACGTGCCCTATAGCAAACACCTTCCCGCCCCAAAAAATAATACTTTTGGGGTCGGTTCTACACTGAGCATTCTCATACTGTGTAGAGCTTTGCTTTTTGTTCCTCCCTCTTTGGAGTGCTTTCTCAGAGTTAGCCCATGGGTTACAGGACCAGGTCAAAGTTATTGATACTATTCTGTTCTCCGATCTGGGCAGGCTTAGTCGCAGGGGATGTTGGCATTTAGACGAGTTGGCCAAGCCAGAGCCGTGCTCACACCAGTTTTAGAAGGGACCACGCCAGCACGGCCTGTGGGCGTGGCCAGTTGCGGCTGATCAGGGTTGACATCTGATGGGACCAGGGAGGCCGCACCTCTGGCCACACCCCCAGAGCAGTGGGGCCAGGTCCTAACTCCATCTCCAGTGGCTGGAAGAGGCGAGCCCTCTGTGGGGGGCTCAGAAACTCCACCTCAAGGGTTTCTGTGGCCCCAACTCGCCAAGACCCACCTTGCTTGTTGCTGGCCATTTTTCACAAGGTCTCCATGGCAATCTCTTACTACCCAGCTCCAAATGAGACAGTTTTCTGCTTTTTCCCCACAGCTCCAATGTTTTGCTGGACCGGAATTTCACCCCCAAGCTGGCTCATGCGAGGGCCCACCCGGGTCCTGTCAACCAAAGGTCCAAGTACACCATGATGAGGACCCAGCTCTTCCAGGCCTCCGCCGCGTATCTGCCCGAGGACTTCATCAGGGTGGGGCAGCTGACCCAGCGCGTGGACATCTTCAGCTGTGGGATCGTAAGCAGTTCCTTCTCCGCTGAGACGTGGGCCTGCACCGGGCCATGCTCCCCTAGCTCCTTCGTGAGCCCGGCAGGGAGCAGAGACCCCTGGGTGATGTTCCCTCAGGGTCCCAAGGGCCCACAGGCTAGATGTGACCAGGGCCCATTTTCTACGGCCTGTGAACTAAGAATAGCTTTAGTGTATGAAAAACAACAGAGGGATGGGAACCAGCAGTTGGTGTAATGGCTATGTCGCTGGACTCCCACGTAGCTGACCACGGTTCGTGTCCCGGACCTGGTGGCTTAAAACTCACGCTGGGCGTGTGTGCGTACATGCCCAAGATCCCGAGAGGAGAATGGAGGAGAAGGGATTGCGGCGTGACCATTCCCCCGGGGGGTGATTTCTCGCTTTCTGTCTCTATGTCTCTCTCTGTCTGGCGAGCGCACGCGCCCTATAGCGAAAATATCTCAAAAAAAAAAAAAAGATAAAAAGCAAAAACAAACAAACAAACAAACAGCAGAGGGGACCAGCAGATGGCGCAATGTTACATTGCTGGACTCCCATGTAGTCAGAGTTCAGCTGTTCAAGTCCAAGACCCTGCAGCTTAAAACTCATGCCAGGCGTATGTGCGTACATGCCCAAACCCAAAAGGAGAATGGAGGAGAAGGGACTGCAGTGTGGCCATGCCCCTGGGGAGTGATTTCTTGCTTTCTGTCTTTCCAGTGAGTGGCACACATCCTATAGCAAAAATCTATTTCTTGTATTACTTCCCAAGGGTGTGTCTACTCCCCAGGTGAGAAAGATGCAAGCGCTTGCCAGCAGGGAGGTCTCTGTGCAGGGTCTCGCCAGTCTTTTTTCATCGATTTCTCCTTCCCATCAGCAGTTTGCCTGCCATCGGGCTGCCGGGGCCAGGACCCACACTGTGGCTACATGTGGGATCCAGCTCCCAGTGCACCGTGCTTATTAACTCCCACACTCTGGGACTGGCCCGAAGTAGATTTCTGCAGAACATGGATTCCTTTGAGCCACTCTAGAATTGATGTGATAAAAAGGTTTTGGGACTAGCAGGTTACGTGGTGGTTAAGGTGCTGGATCCCACTTGGCCTCGACCGCAGTTCAAGTCCCAGACCTGGTGGCTTCAGAAGCATACTGGGTGCGTGTGTGTGCGTGTGTGCGTGTGTGTGTGTGTGTACGCAAAATCCCAAGAGGAGAATGGAGGAGAAGAGATGGTGGCACGGCCATCCCCCAGGGGCGGGGTTATTTCTCGAACTCCTTTTTTCTGTCTTTCTCTTTCTAGCGAGTGCATGCACTTTATGACAAAAACCTTAAAGAGAGGGTTTTTAAAAATCCAGATAGGTTTGGGAAATGCTGGGCCAAGCAACATATAGCAGGTTTCTTTTCTTATTATTTAAAATTCATTTCTTTTTTCTGTGAACGAGAGAGACAGAGTCTATAGTGCTAGCCATTACACCAGGAAGACCTCCCCTTCCATGGCTGAGAGACAGAGATAAAGAGACTTGTAGAGAGAGAGAGTGAGAGACAAATGCAGCACCCCACCTCCAACAGGCTCCTGGTACTGCAATCTACCGCTGGCCTCAGCCAGCCCCAGGTCACAGGCTTGTGCGTGTTAGGTATATTCCGGGAGGTCTCAAGGCTTGAACCTGGAACCTTTCCATGTGAGGAAGTCTTGCAGAGCATCGGGTTTTGCTGCTATGCCACTGTTAGTTGGCCTTCTTGCACAAGTTTGTTTACCATAAGAGTAATTAGAGCTTTCTAGGACCAGCAGTTGGCGTAATGGCTACGTTGCTGGACTCTCATGTAGTCGACCGTGGTTTGAGTCCTAGTCCCTGTGGCTTAAAGTCACGCCAGGTGCATGTGCGTGCATGCCCAAGATCCCGAGAGGAAAATGGAGGAGAAGGGATTGCGGCGTGGCCATCCCCCTAGGGGGGATTTCTCACTTTCTGTCTCTGTCTCTGTCTTCCTGGTGAGCGCGTACACGTTCTATAGCAAAAACCTTTAAAAAAAAAACTAGTGAGAGCTTTTGGTATTGATTTAGTAATGGTGAATTCACTAGAGAGGGCTCTGCAGTGTTTCCCAAATCCATGCGACTCCAGAGCTTGTGACCTCAGCGTGTGTGTCAGCGTGTGTGTCATGTTCCCGTCCCACGGAGCCCAGCCGGGGAACGCTGGCTGAGAGCAGCAGTGGTCGGGTTGGCCTCCGCCCAGCGTGGACGGCTGCGTGCTGGGCCTGGCCCTTCTCCTCCCCTCCCTGACCATGCTCTCCTCTGCCCACCTCTGCCGCCCGGACCCTTGCCTGGAGCCCCCTCTGCCTCTGGTCCACACCATGCACCAGCTCCTTCACCGCGCGGGCGGCGGGTAGATGAAGCTCAGCAGCGCTGGTCCCGGCTGTGGACGCTTGAGGACCCACAGCTCTGGTGCTTGCAGCACTGCGGTCCCGACCCTCCTCTCATTGTCCGATTGGTGCTGTTCTGCCTATCCCCCAGGCCTGTTTTGTCTTCTGTGAAGTGGGGTAACAATTCTTACAGAGATAATGGAGTAACGTAGGCGAACCGGTCAGCGCGGTGCCCCGCGTGCAGCAATTCGGTTACCATCACGGCGGTTATTGCAGTGTATCTGGCTTCACACCCCCACTCCCGCTTTCTGCTTCCTCGCTACAGTCAGCTTCCTCACCCACCCAGCCACCTGTCCCATCCACCCCTGCAGCCCTCGCCCAGTGCTTGCTGGCTCCCTCCACCCCTCTCTCAGCCTGGCCGCTGACAGGCCGTTAAGATTTCAATCTTTGGTTCCCCCTGTGGAGGGCACCATGCGTTCTGGTGATAGCGAATGACCTCTGGAAAGGGCCCAGCGTGGGTCCAGCCACGTGCAATGCGGAGAAAATATTTCCCTTGTTTTTGTCTCCCTCCTTGGCAGGAACTGGTCCAAAGTCCCTTTTCTTTTTCTTTTCTTTCTCTTTTTCTTTTATTTCTTCTTCTTCTTTTTTTTTTTTTTTAATTCAATCATTTATTTTAATTTGACCAGAGAAAGACAGACACACAGAGAGAAGGCAAGTGAGAAAACAAGCCACCAGGTCCGGGACTCGAACCATGGTTGGCCATGTGGGAGTGTCCAGAGCCTTAACACCACACCACCTGCCAGCCCTGAAAGTCCCTTTTCTTTTTTGGAACAAATTAAAAAATTTGTGAGTAGGTGTGTGAGCTCACCACAGAGAGAGTGATAGTTCCCCTCAACGGGGCATGGTCGTACTGTAGCCCTCCATGTCTCATCCTGTCTGGGTATTGAGCATGCGTACACACACGCCCACACCCACGCCCACGCCCAGCATGATTTTCATGCTGCTGGAGCTAGGATTCAGACCGCACTCGACCCTGTGGGATCCAGCTTTCCGTGCACAGCAGTGCCAGTGGCTGTGGTGGTGCCCTCTGCTGCCCCCTGCTGACCACAGCCAGTCTGTTGTTAACCCCCGGTGGGCGGAGTCAGCTCCCTTGCCCTCTCCTTCCTCCAGGCTTAGAGTCTCTGCAGTAAATGCTTCAAGAGAGGCTGTGGCAGAGAGATTTGGCACTCGGGGGGATAGGGGGGGTGTTCACTCCAACATTTACGACTACCGGAGCCCCGTTCCGTGGAGGACACTAAGGCTCAGATTCGGTTATTTGCCAGGAGATCACGGAGGATTTGAACCCAGGGCTGTCTGACGGTAGAGCCCTTGACCACCATGGTACTCTGTCTGCTGAGAGTTCCAGTCCGAGCAGGTTTCCTGTGCGTTAAGTCGCTC